TGAGTCAGTCTATGTGAGTCAGTTCGTTATCAGACTTCCGCTGCATAAATGCTCATCCTATATTGGTTGATCTTTGGTTCTGCCCATACTCATTGAAGTATGTAACAATATGTGTGTGGTGGTATTCAGGGTGATCCAAAGTGAGCGTGTGTGAACAGTGGGGTTGGACACAGTGACGAAGGTTGGGATGTTCAGGCGCTGATGCGCCATAGCCTGTTGAAGAGAACTTGCATCTGAACTGTGTTCTTGATTTCCATATCTCTAAGCTTTGAGTGGGCGCCCCGCCCTCAGCCCAGGCCAAAACGGGGGCAAAAAGGACCCCATACGAGGACTCAGGGCCTGGACGTGAGACAGTTGATTTTGGTCAACTGTCGTGACCCCAACAGTCAAAGTCCAAAGGTACCTAGCCCAGGCCGCTGGTCAAGCACACACACTTGTTTGTATGCAGGTACCCAAACAGCATCAGGTCCAAGGAGAAGTCTGCAACTGCACAATCCGGGCCCTCAGCTGTGAGTCAATCTGGATGACTGTGGGGAAAGCACCCGAGGCCAGACAGCCTTGACAATTGCTACTTGAGGCTGGCCTCGAGTGAGTCAAGCATTCAGTCTTGCTATGCTGCTTTGACGCTGGCTCGACTTTGACTAGACGCTGGCATTATGCTGGCTCGGCGCTGGCTAGACGCTGGCTGTGCACTGGCGATGCGGACGACGACACGAGGTGGTGGCAGCATGCTGGCACTTTCTGCATTGTGTGCCAGGCTTGCTGAGGTGGCATGCTGATTTGGCGCTACCTCTGGTCACCATTGCATGTTGATGTGGCGCTACCTCTGGTCTACATTGCACGCCGATGTGGTGCTATCTCTGGTCTACATTGCATGCTGATGTGGCGCTACCTCTGGTCTACATTGCATGCTGATGTGGCGCTACTTCTGGCCTACATTGCATGCTGATGTGGCGCTGCCTCTGGTTTACAGTGCATGCTGATGTGGAGCTACTTCTGGTCTACATTGCGATGTGGTGCTGCTACTGGACTACATTGTTGATGTGGCATATGCCACCTGTCTCGACTGTTGACGTGGCATTGTCCACGCTGTCTACATGAGGTGACTGGTTGCGAGGAGGAGGAAGATCGGGATCTGTGGATGAAGGAGATCGGGTACTCACCTGAGGTTGACGTCGTCACTGGAATCTGCTATGTCTTCATGGTCTTCATGAGATAAAGTGCCACGTGGCACTATTGTGTGTGATCAGGAATATACTTATTATCATTGTTGACATAGAGAAGGAAGAAACCCGGAGAAGGAGAGGGGTCTGAAGGGATTACTATTGTGAGATCTTTCATCTTCTCCTCTGTCTGTTCCCCCTCCACTCTCTTCTTTTGATGGTAATGAGATACTGTATGAGATATTACTTCACGATTTGGAGACCTTGATGCAGATAATGAAACTATTGATGTTTGACGACTTCTGAGTATCTGCCAGACTGGGTTCATTACATTTGAGTCTATTTTTCTCTTATTGTCTTGTCGGAGGCCTAGTCTTTGGCTCTCGCCCGAATCTGTAGCTCTTGGAACTTCCATCTTGCCCATTGGGTAAATTCCATAACCCTTCATAAATCATGACGAAAAATTGGGGTTCCTATCTTCTGGTTCTTGTCCTCTTGTCTCCTTGTCTGCCCTTCCCAATTCTCCTCGCTCTTCATCTCTTATCTTCCCTCCTTCGGGAATGCCATCTTCGATCAGGTTGGGTGTTCAGCAAATTGGAGTTGCTACCATCTTCACCCGAATAGAATGCCCAGTCATTATAACTATATTTTGAGAATTTTGGAGCACGGTTCGGTCTGGATGCCTTGATAATGACAAGGCTTTCTTTTCTATTCAGGTGGAGATGGTAGGAAGACACCGATGTCAAGCTCATTCGCTCCCCTGTTGGAAGCCCTGCGCACTTGACAATGGGCGCGGGATCAGAGATACTAAAGGAGAAAGATCAAGGGTGTGCGATGCAAGATTCTTACTTCCATTTCCTCGCCAAGGGCACTTGTTGCTTCGTCCAGCACGACCAGCTGTGGCATATGGAAAAATACTCTCGCGATCGATAGACGCTGCTGTTCACCAAGGGACACTGCATTCCTCCAGTCAATCTGTGCCTGCAATAACACACAGCCAAGGCATGATGTCAGCTTGTCCGAGTCAATACACAGCCCTTTCCTGCATTGCTAATAGTAGGTATAGCTTTTGTCTACAACCTGTTACGGACTCAGCCAGGGCTCGATCCCTGGTCCGCGGGTTACCACCCGCCAGGCTGCTATTTTATTATTTTAGAGTCTCTGATCGCCGGTTCCTGACTGTTGGCGCCCGTTCTCAAATCCCGCCTCTTTAAACCACTAGTACCTTTGCCGCTTGGGAAAATAGCGGGCCTCGGGTAGGCGTCCGACCTTTTCAGAGGCCGAAACGAAATGACGGCCGCCGATCAGATTTATAAATGGCAGTCGTCGTCGGGCCCGACCTCCGAATATTCAGGAGTTTGGGAAAACTGCCAGTTTTCCCTATTTTCCCACGCGGGAAAGGTACTAGTGGTTAAAAAAAAAAAAAAACAAAAAAAAAAAAAAACAGGTGAACGCTCGGCGATAGTCTATTTGTTGGGCAGGCATGCAATTCTCGCAGCTGTGCGATTCGCTGTAAGAATCAGGGGGATTTTTTCTTTTTGCTGAGATCTCTTGATTCCAATCCGGAAATTTCTTGACTATGGCATCAAGAAATAATTCAATTCCATAGTCAAAGCATCTTAGTTGAAGGGGATACAAGTACAAAGGCTGATAGTACTAACGTTGTCACAACTTTGTCCTCCTTTCCTCAAACTAAAATTTCATGTGTATCCTTCATGTCATGCTTGGTGAAATGAGCCAAGTACTCGTCAAGTTCAATCTCGCATACATCAATGAACGTTCACATGAGAGTTCACGCGTTAGAAGCCAAATCGAGATACAATCAACACTTGAAGATGTCATCTCCAATATTATTATCAATATACAAGAATGTTTGTCTCCAGCAGCTCGGCCGCACACACACTCACAACGGATCTCAACCAGATAGAGGCTTCTCCCCTCTTCTCCTCTCCCTCTGCCCTTGACCATTACCCTGGATACACCTACTCGGGTACCTTACACCTTGAAGGCTATGGCCGCCATCCTTCTGCTCTGCGTCTACCCTAGCTATGGAGTATCTCACAGGCACCCTCTTCTTCTTCAGGCGCACAGTGCCCGAGTTGCCTTAACGCACAAGCAGCAGCAGCGCTTCAACATCTCACAACTGAACAAGTGATGAGCCGCTGGACTGTAGCAGCTAAATATAGGACTTGGCTTCACTTGGCTTGCTTCAGACCGGTACCGGTCAGCCGCGGCCTATCTGCTGCAAACATGTTGTCGGTCCGGTAGCTTCCGGACTTCCGTGGGACATGCTGCAAAATTGGGCTTGGGACTGTCGGACTGGACTGGACGCTTCTGGACTTTTCTTGTTGGGTACCGGACGGACTCCTACCGGCCTACGACGCTTCGGCCTCTAGACCTTATGGCCTACCCTACGGGACGGTCATGGGACTTGGGACTGGTCGGGACCCTGGGACCGGGACTGGGTGTCTGCAGCGTGAATCCTTTCATTAGCCTCGAATCGTCTGCCCCTCCCCATCCATCTGCCCTCTTTGACACATTACATCGAAACAAGCTGGTGTGTGACTTGATTATACATGCTGACAGAATTTGTACGAGTGAGCACAGGGATGTACATTGACTTGATTATACATGCTGACAAGTCTAGTTCTCGACGGCACCTGTTGACAAGTATAGTCCTCGACAGCAGAGGCATGCTATACTTACCTCCCAATCACCTCCAACTCTCTGAAGGAGATAGCTGAGATCCACCATTTCCAGAACCTTGCGGAGCTTTGCTTGCCATTCAGGATGCTTGTGGATAGCCATCCACCCTCGTCGAAAAGTCGGTGGAACTCGCCTTCTGTCCCATTTCCCATGGGCCCATTCTCGAGTCCAACATCGAGAACCTGAAAAGCTGGAGGAGAAAGTTGGCCTCCTGCTCCCTCCCAATTGTGTTGTAGTGTCTCCACCACCATCACCACCACCACCTCCATCTTCCTTGCCATAACAGGGGTTCCACTGGATGACTTGCTCTTTGAGAAGAAAAGGCTGATATTCATCGCAGCCTCTGTTGTTGTCTTCTTGCTGACCTGCAGCAACTCTGCTTGCGCCCTTGCCTTGGCACCTCAGTTCAAAGTCTGTGGTTTCACTTAAAGCTGCGGCCAGATCACCTCTGTCGACAGGGAGAAGTGGATAAATCAGCTGCGCAAGAAGTCCTCCCCTGGCCATAAGTGGGGTTTGAGTAAGGACAATGACATTGGGAGCTTGAGTCTCCCTTTCGTTCCACTCTACCATCTTCACTGATCCTGTACAGGAATACCAGCAATTTGGAAAGTCAGTGCCGGAGCTGAGAGGATTTCTAGAAGACGGCAGACTGACAGTCAATCCTCTCCCTGGAAGTGGGGTAATCAATGCTGCTCAGGGGTCCTTTGGCCGGATGGAAGGAAGCGTGGGTTTTCAGTTTATGTATCTTTTGACCTGCCGGTGGAAAGGGAGCCAGACTGATGTTCCCCAGAATGGAGCCAGGACCATTAAAAAAAAAGAAAAAAAAAAAGAAAAAGAAAACACTGTTGAATATGGCAGGTTGCAGGTTCGAGTCCTGCAGTTAGCGACTGGGGCCTTGAAGCTTGCTTGGAGGTTGGAAAAAAAGAAATAAAAAACTGTCCTACATTTGGATGATTTCGACAGCAGTCAGCAAGAAAGTGAATAAACCCTCTTGAATCTGTTCTAAATTTGGATAATTTGGCATCAAGGCTCAAGCTAGAAAGTGAACGAACATTCGATCCTGTTTTCTTCTTTTTCCTGATTTTTCATTTAAAATTTTGGACCATTTCTGGATTTATGCGTTTCATCCTTGCGCAGGAACCAGGCTAGTCTTCTCTGTATCGCACCCATTGTAACAGATGTCCCGTAGGACATTCTATCCTGTTTAATGAACTGTTACATGCCCAGTTGGCAATGTACATAAAAACCGAGGATCCGCAATGTGATAAAAAGGACTGAATGGACAATGCAGTGCAAGTGGAACCTCGACAAACAATGTGCATTCCGATACATACAAAATGGTGTTTTACAGCGCAGTGGAAGATTTAGATACAAGTCCTGACCTGACTGGGACTGACCTCTTTCACATAGTACAAGATAGCGAAGCACGAGGGTAGAATACTAATGACTAGCCCAATCAATGTTTCAACGCAGACCAAACGTACATCATGCTCATCACAAGGTGTGAAGGGGCCTGGCGCTATACACAGGAAAGAGGCGCCAGGTC